TTTGTGATTTTTTTTTTTTAATCCATGATCGAATTTTTTTTGTAATCCATGATAGAATTTTTTGAAAATTTGTGATTTTTTTTTTAATCCATGATCGATTTTTTTGAAAATTTGTTATTTTTTTTTTTAATCCATATTATTCAAAGAGAAAATGAGAGAGATGATGATTCTGAGGCCACCCTATCCCAGCCATATTATTCACATATCGAGTCCCAACAACAAAGTGTAGGGATGAGCACGAAATACTGTAAATTAAATGCTGAATGGCGGTTCATGCAGGGAAAGAACATATCAATATTCGCATATTCATTCAAAAACATGAAAATTCTTAATGGAGTACCCTCATTTTTTATTGAATTCCTAAAAAACAATATTTATAATGAATTTTAATAATTTTTTTGAATTTTTTTTAAGCTTTATTCTGACCGATTCACCCGATTCCCGATCCGGATCGCCGATTCGCCGATCCAGATAGGTTTTTTGGAAGCCCGATCCGGGTCACCGATCCGTTTTTTAAACCATTGGTTCCTACAAATCTAAGTCTTATTCTCACTCATGGAAGAGATCCGAGAATTTGACATGCATATACATCCACATGTATATACATCCTCGTACATTCAAAAAATGACATGCATGCATCCACGTACATACAAATCCAAGCTTTACTCAAATTATCAGAAAGAATGACATGGATTCCACATACATACATATGTGAGAACATACTTGACGGTAGGTTTTTTTAAACAAAAGTGGTCCTCTAATTTGAACCTCGGACCGCTATTGACTTTTGAAAAGAAAAAAAAAGCGGTGCGAGAATTTGAACCTTGGACCGCAACTTAACGTTGGAAAAATGAAGTGATTCGAGAATTTAAACTTCGGATCGCAACTAAAGTTTTTGAAAAAATAAAGCGGTACGAGAATTTCAACCTCGGACCGCAGTTTTGAAAAAATAAAGCGGTCCGAGAATTTCAACCTCGAACCACAGTTTTTAAAAAATAAAAGCGGTCCGATAATTTCAACCTCGGACCACAACTTAAAATTTTAAAGAATTAAGCGGTCTGAGAATTTCAACCTCGGACCACAGGGGCAAACTTGAAAATAAAAAAAGGCGCGCGTTGACCAACCTTTCTAGTAATTTTTGCCTAAAAAGGGGGTATCTTGTATTTTCTGTACTTTTTTAGGGTCCGTAAGTAATTAACTCAATTTGATATAATTTATCTCTCTAAAATTTTAATATTATTTTTCTCTCTAAAATTTAAAATTTGAGATAATTTCTCTCTATAAAAATTTTGAGATAGTTTATCTCTTTTAAAGTTTCACGTACTTTCTCTATTTAAAATTTGATGTAGTTTCTCTCTCTAAAAATTTTGAGATAGTTTTTCTCTAAAACATTTTAGGTAGTTTCACTCTCTAAAATTTGATATAATTTCTATCTCTAAAATTTTAATATGTTTTCTCTCTAATTAAAATTTGAGATAGTTTCTTTCTCTTAATAATTTGAGATATTTCTCTATCTAAAAATTTTCTGGCAGTTTCTTTCTAAAATTTATTATAGTTTGTCTCTCCAAAATTTTTAAAATACCTTTCTCTCACTGTAAAACTTAAGATTTCATATAGTTTATCTCTTTAAAAATGTTGAGAGAGTTTCTATCTCTAGAAATTTTTAGGTATTTTTTTTGGAAAAATTACAAAAAAAACCCCCAAAAATACACTGACCATGCAACTTACCCCCAACCCAACTTATTTTCTCACTTTTTTCCAAAAAGTATACTTTCCATGTAAATACCCCCTCCTCCCCCCTCCAACCAAAAAAAGTTCTTTTTTTTTTTTACGAAAATACCCGCCCTGTAAAAAGTGCCCATTTTGTTTTACAGAAATGCACTCTGGCAGTCTCAAAGGGCGCTCTGGCAATACATGCTTTGGAGCCCCAGCGCTCCGGCAGTTGCATAGGGCGCTCCGGTACTGAAGACATGCGCTCCAACAATACACGTTCTAGAGACAATGCCCTATGTCAGTCTCAAAGGGCATTCCGACAATACATGCTTTGGAGCCATAGTGCTCCAGCAGTTGCATAAGGTGCTCCGGCACTTGAGACACATGCGCTCCGGCAGTGCATGTCTGGAGACAACATTGCTCCGGCATTTGCAAAACGCGCTCCGGCGGTGCTTGTTCTGGAGACGAGGCGCTTCGAAAGCTGAATAGGGCGCTCGGACCGTACTTGTCCTAGAGTCACAGCGCTCCGACAGTATCTGAAGACGCTCTGGTAGTATATGTTCTAGAAAGTGAGCTTCGACAGTTGCATATTGCGCTCCGGCAATATGCTACTTGGGTCCGATAATCAGCGCCAATTTTTTTTTTATTTTTACGGGATGTGTATTTCCTTAAAAAACAAAGGAACTTTTTTTGTTGGGGGAGTATTTACATAGAAAGTATATTATTGAGAAAAAAGTGAGAAAAAAGGTTTGGATGGGGCTAAGTAGCATAAATAGTGTATTTTGGGGGTTTTTTGTAATTTTTCTTTCTTTTTTTTCTGAATTTTGATATAATTTCTCTATTTAAAAATTTCAGGTACTTTCTCTAAAACTTGATAAAATTTCTCTTTCTAAAATTTAAGATACTTTCTCTCTCTAAGACATAAAACTTGAGATAGTTTCTCTCTCTGAAAACTTTGAGAAATTTATCTCTCTAAAATTTTTGAGATAGTTTCTCTCTCGATAAATTTTTCAAGTAGTGTTTATCTCTAAAACTTAATGTAGTTTCTCTCTCTAAAACTTAAAATTGATATAATTTATTTCTTTAAAAACTTTGAGATATTTATCTCTCTAAAAAAATTGATATAGTTTCTCTCTCTGAAAACTTCGAGATATTTATCCCTAAAAAATTTTAGGTAGTTTCTCTCTATAAAATTTGATATAGTTTTTATCTCTAAAATTTTAATAAATTTTCTTACTCTAACGTTTAAGATTTGAAATAGTTCTCTCTCCATAAAATTTGAGATAGTTTCTATATCTCAAAATTTTCAGGTACTCTCTAAATTTTAATACAATCTCTCTAAAATTTTAATATGCTTTCTCTCTAAAACTTTAAATTTGAGATAGTCGCTCTATCTAAAAATATGAGAATTTTTGTCTCTAAAAATTTTCATGTACTTTCTTCATCTAAATATTTTGAGATAATCTATCTCTCAAAAAAAAATGGGTACTCTCTCTCAAAATTTTAATATAGTTTCTCTCTCTATAACTTTAACATACTTTCTCTCTCTAAAGTTAAAATTTGAGATAGTTTCTCTCTCTAAAATTCTTGAGATAGTATTTCTCTTTAGAAAAACTTAGGTACTTTCTCACTCTAAAATTTTCATACCTACCAATTTGCCCTATGTTAAGAGTTGAGGGGGACCGACAAGTGAAATCCCATGGGCCTTAGAAATTCAAAAAATAGGTTTTAGCATGGAAATAAAGTCATGGAAAAGTTAGGTAATTTTTTAAGATTTAATTTTCATAGAATTTTAATATCTTAGCCATTGAGCAAACGAAACGATAAATTTCATGTAATATCCATGACATTAAAAACCCATGACCTAAAATCCACGTGCCCAAACGAGCAATTGAAGTTGCTCTTACAATGGTCTTTAGGGTGACAGCCACCTAGATAGTTACATTAAACCTAAATCAAGCATTCAGTGTCCAAAAGAATCAAAAGTATTTATTACTTTGATCTAAAGTTAGACTTATTTTTATATTTATTTATTGGAAAAATAC